TCTCTTTCTCTCTGAAATCAACAAAAATATATTTTTTAAAGAAAACAAAGAAAAAAAAACAAAAACGAAGAGAGAGCTAAAGCCAATTCAGAAGTCAGAGGGGTAGCAGAAGAAGGAAGCTCCTGATTGTGCCTGGGGCAGTGTGAGGCGGGGTAGGCAGGGGCTTTCCTGAACAAGCTGAGCTGGAACAGATGAAACACTTTCCTATATGCAGTGACGTACACAGAGCACAACAGTTACCACTGGTGGCATTTAGTGTGTGTGTAGTAATGTGGAACCATCCCCACTGTCTAGTTCCAGGGCACTGTCCTCACCCCAAAAGGAAACCCTAACCCATTAAGCAGGAACTCTTCAAGTCCTTCCCGCAGCCCCTGGCAGCACTGACTGGCCTCTTCTCTTTGTGGAGTTGCCTGTTCTGGGCATTTCATGCCAGTGGATCATACATGACATGTGTGTGGGCCTGTTGTGTCTGGCTTCTTTCACTCAGCATCACGTTATCAAGGTCCATACTCATAGCCTATGTGAGTACTTCATTCCTTTTTATGGCTGAATAATATTCCATTGTTTGGCTCTAACACAGTTGATTCATCAGTTGATGGACACTTGAGTCATTTCCATCTTTGGTTATTTTAGTACTGCTACTATGAATATTAGCTAGTGTATGAGTTGTTTTTTTTGTTTGTTTGTTTTATATATTTTATTGATTTTGTACAGAGAGGAAGGGAGAGAGATAGTTAGAAACATCGATGAGAGTCATCGATCTACTGCCTCTTGCACACCCCCTACTGGGGATATGCCCGCAACCAAGGTACATGCCCTTGATCAGAATCGAGCCCGGGACCTTTCAGTCCCCAAGCCGATGCTCTATCCATTGAGCCAAACTGGTTTCGGAGTAGTGTACGAGTTTTTGTTTGAACACCTGTTTTCAGTTCTTTGGGTCTGTACCTAGGAGGGGGGTTGCTGGATCCTATGGTAACTCTCTTAAACTATTGAGGAACTGTTCCACCATTCCTGCAGTCACACCATTTTTTGTTCATCATCAATGTATAGGGTTCCAATTTCTCCCCATCCTCCTCATCACTTACTTTCCACTTAAAAATATACATGATAGCCACCCCAGTGGTTGCAAAGTAGTATGTCACTGTGGTTTTCTTTTTCATTTCCCTGATGGCTAATGATATCGAGCATCTTTCTATATGCTTATTGACCATTTGTATAACTCCCGAGTCACCACCATTCAGCATATTCGGACCCCTCTCCTCCCTAATGCACAGAGAACATCCTCTGACTCTGCTTCTTCCCCTGGTGCCCCGCCTGCTTCCTTCTCCCCATCACACTTTTCTTAATCCTCACCAGAGGATGTTTTTTCCATTGATTTCAAGAGAGAGTAGAAGGGAGGAAGGAGGAAGGAAAGAGAGGGAGGAAGGGAGGGAAGGAGAGAGACCGATGTGAATGCGACACATCGATTGGTTGCCTCCCGCATGTACCCCAACCAGGGCCAGGGGTTGAACTATAACCCAGGTACCTGTCCTTGACTGGGAATTGAACCCATGATCCCCCCATCCACAAGCTGATGCTCTAACCGCTGTTCACACCAGCCAGGGCTCTACTATACTTTTCAAAGGTGTTGTGGATCCTCTGGGTCTTCCTGCTTCACCCTCTGCCCACTCACTCTGCCCCCACAATCTCTGAGATATGAGTCCAGAAGATATCTGTATTTGGTGGCATTTGGTGCAGTTGACCTTCCTTCCTTCCTGAACAGCTTCTTCCCTTGGTCTCACGATGCCCACACCTTGGTTTGCTTCGCCAACCGGGTCTCTGCAGCTCCCTTTGTCACCTCCTCCTACACCCCTCTCTGCTCACTGCATGCTCTTGGACTAGGCAGTCTCATTCATTCTCTGACCTCAGTGACCAGGTAGAGAGTTGACTCCAGGTTGACCTCTTGGTTCAGAGGATGGTTTTCCTGAGTGCCAGCTGTGTGGCACCCAAGGTGGAGAAGGCACATGAGGGCAGGCCAGTCTTGCTGTCTCCAGAGCTGGTGGGACAGACAGTAAGCAAGGAGGATGACACTTGGTATAACAGACAGAGGAGGAGAATGGTGTGGAGAGAGGCAGAGGAGTCGCTGAAACTCCTCATCCAGGACACTGGCATCGCCGTGGAGGTACTGCCAGCCCAGCACCTTCACAGCTTCTGTCCCTTTTTACTTTCCTATTTCAGTGACTTGTCCTGTGTCCCCTTTCCTGTGTCAGCCAGAGGCTGGGAGGTCTCCCTGACTCCTCTTCCTCTTCATCCCCCACTTCCAGTCCATCCTGTGAACTAGCACCTTGATTTTCCCAGATTCTCTGCTCGGCCCAGTGTTCCATTTGCCATCCTCATCTCTTGTCTGGAGAACTGGGAAAACCTCCTGTGGCTCCTCTGCTTCCCTACCCATCCGGACCGGACGCCACCCTAGAGCCTTAGGGGCCTTTCAGAGGGAAATGTTTTGTCATTGCCCCACTCTGACCCTTTCACTTGGCTCCTAGTTTCCCTTGAGATAAAGGTCACATTCTTTAACCTGGGCTGGTGGCTCTGAAGCCACCCCAGCCCCACCCTGTGCCTGCCTGACTCTCTGCTGTGACCTACGGCTGTGCCCAGCCTCTCGGCTCTCAATGACATCTGCCTGGACACTTCACGCACACATGAACATACATGTGCACACGCTGTCAGAGGAGCCTTCCTGACCTTGCAGGTTCCTTGGACTCCTGTCATGTATTGGACAGCCCTATGTTTTTCACAGAACTGGACAGTGTGGTGTCTAGGCCAGACAGGCCTGTCCCCCAGGAGCTGACAGTTCTCACTGGGGGAAAGACACCCACCTTGTAATCAGCAAGTGAGCGCAAAGTGGCACGTTGGTTACAAAGAAGCCTTCGCTGAGAGCTCCGGGGCGCAGGAAGGCCTGGCCCCACCTAACAGAGTGGGGCTCGTGGGGGAGATGGGACCGGGTTGCCTTTTCTGGAAGTCACTCTGCCAGCCTTGAGGAGGAATGCTCGGGAGGGAGACGCGGGAGGTGAGACCAGCAGGGCCGTGGGAGAGGAGATGCGTGGAGTCAGCGGGTCTTGGGGAGAACTTGGTTTTCTCGGGCAGTGGGGGCTTACTCAGTGTCCCCCGGTGGGCTGTGGATACCCCAGGTTTCGTTCTGTTTTATGACTTAGTCAGATTGCCACTTGTAGTGTGAAGGCCACTCTGTCCAGGGAGCAGCAGAGAGCTCACCTGTTCAGGTTTGACCCAGTTGGCTTCCAAGGTTGTGGTGTTGGTAGCACTAGAATTCAGCATTACAAAAAATAACAGGCCCATGTGAACTTCCATCTACTGGACACATGTGCATGTATCATTTAAAACAAGAACATGTCCTGGGAGAAGCTGTTAGTGACTGGGAAGTAAGTAATACTAGCCTTTTCTGGGGGCATCTGGAGAGAACCCAGAGGAGAGTTTTAACACGGGGAAGCCCCTGGAGGAGGAGAGTGATGGATGGGGTTTTCGAGGAGGAAAGACCCATGCTTTCATGATCATGTGAGAGAATGGCAAATGTCAGGGATAGAGCCCAAGACGCCCGTAATGAGGAAGAAGCTCAGACTGTGGGAGGCAGGGAGCCCAGGCCCTCGTCCCTGTGCAGGTTCATCTGTGTGTGGAGCTCCGACAGCTTGTAAGCATCCCGGACCCCGCATTCTTAAGCACCTCAGTAGAAGGTAAAGCAGCGCTTACTTCCTAGTAAAAGTCCCAGTCAAGGATGAGAGTAAATAGTTAGGGGTCTGAGTCGGTAGGTCTGATCTCCTCGGCCCTGAGTGATCGGAGGGGCTTGTGGGTTTGTGTTTCTAGGATGAGTTTGATGGGTACAAAGTCCATTTCTCTAGGCAGACTGCAAGGTGGGAGAGTGAGCACCTTGGCTGCACACACAACCTGGGTGGTCCACACTCACCAGTGCATCTGTCAGCTGTCATCGCCTTGGCCAAGCACAGTGAGCTCCTCAGGCTCCCTGTGCCAGCCGGGCCCCTCAGGCCTACCTGGGAGATAGAGGGCCTGCTCTGCTGTGTGTGCCCTCCGCACTCATCCACCTCTGCTTGCGCGCTGCTCCTCACCTTGCGGGGGAGCTGTGTGTGGTGGGACAGCCGAGCTGTGGCGATGCAATAGGGAGACAAGCACTGAATCTGGAGCCCCGAGGTGAATGCGAGGAGAAGGCAGCTAGAAAGCCTTTTCCGAGGCTCTCCTGTGGCCTCTCCTGAGCCTTGAGGCTGAGGGGTGTGCTAGCAGGGAAACTTGTCATTGATGAGCTGCTCAGCGTATTAATTTCCTATTGCACTGCACCAATGACCACAAACTTACTGGCTTACACAATCATCAGTTTTCTATCTTGCAGTTCTAGAGGTCAGTAATCTGAAATGGGGTCAAAATAAAGGTGTTACTTCTGGATAGTTCCTTCTGGAAGCTCTAGAGAAGAATTTGTTTCCTTGCCTTTCCCAACTTTTAGAAGCTGCCTGCACTCCTTGGCTCATGGTCCCTTCCTCCATCTTCAAAGCCAGCAGAGTGGCGCATGCCAGCCCCTCTCTGACCCCTGCTTTTCACCGCATGCCTTCTGTCTTGTAAAGACCTGTGTTCACCTGCTACCACAGGAACCTCATCACATCTGCAGAGTTCATTTGCCCCTTTGAGGTCCCAGGATGAGGATGTGAACATCTTTGGAGGGTCAGTATCATTAGCCTTTTTTCATACCAGACTGTATGGTAAATATTTAAAAGTCAACAGGAAGATAGGGAAATTAGATAGACCTGTGATCTCTCCAAATCAAGCATTGCCAGAGGTGGACGGAGCCTCACAGTCCAGAAGCTGTGAGGAATTAGATTGCTTACAGTGGAGTGGAAGACACTGTCTCAGGGTGGACTTTTTATACATTTTTTCCATGGCCTGATTGTGCTATCAAATAAAATCATTTGACATATTTGTTTTTGTTTTTATTTTGTAAATAGATTTCCAGCAGGAAAAGCAGCGTTGGTTCTTCGTCTGCAATAACTAGTAAAATTAAGGTGCCAGCCACTCAGCCCATAGTGAAGAAAGACAAACGGCAAAATTCCTCCAGGTTTAGTGCCAGCAATGATAGAGAACTTCAAAAACTACCATCTTTAAAAGGTAATTTTTATTATTTGTCTTTTAAAATTAATTTTTGACTATTTAGGGAGGAGTAATGTTTTGATAGTTGGCTAGCTTTTTGTACCTTTACTGTATTTATATTCTGTAGGGTCATCTTTTCTTCTGGAGTTTTTGTTTAGATTGAATGCCATTAACTTATTTTAATCAGTATTTTAAACATCAGAGCTACTTAAGATAAAAATCTAACCATAAATGTATTGTAGGTATAATATACCGTACTAAAAAGTAACAGAGTAAAGACTTAAAAACTTCTCATATTAATTATAATTAAGCTAGTTAATTTTTCTTTTAAGTAATTCTTCTCTTTCATCTGTCTCAGAACTCTACAGCTCTGAAATGAGGCACCCCAAGTTGAGTAATTGTGAAGACTGTGGTAGAACCCCTTTGTTTTTCTGATGTTGGAGGAATGAGGACTGGATTATAGTGCTTGATGGACTTCTCCTATGAGTCATTGGGCATTATTCTACCCAGGGATTTCCTATTTGAGAGGAGTCAGGGAATGGAACTCTTTGCTTTGAATTACCCCCAAATGCACAGTTACCCCTTTCTACCTGAGGGTGTTCAGCCCTAAAAGTGGTCTTCCAAGATATTATGAGATTGAAGTCCATAAAACCATATAAAAGAAAATAGGGTAAGGGCCCCAAAATCAAATGAGATTTGTGGTAGATAATATACATTCTAAGTCATTTTTGAGGAGTGTTCCCCTCCCAAATAACCCATGACTTTCTGGGGCTATTCATTCATTTAGCAAATACTGGATTGAGTAACTACAAAAACAGGCCCTGTTCTAGGTGCTGGAGTACAGCATTAAACAAAAACCAGGGCCTGCTCTGCTGGAGCCAACTTCCTGTCCCAAGGTGGGAAACAACCAGTGAGAAAAGGGGTGTGTGCCCTTGACTCCTTCCAGGACAGCATCCTTAGGATACTGGCCACCATGCATGAGACGTCTGTGGTGGAGAATGTCCCATAACCATTATTGAGCCTTCTCTGTCCAAGCCCCCTCCCTAATACCCATCATGAGTATTAGGCTTGGCTTCTGCCATTCGGGCCTGTGCCTGCGCTCAGGGCACCATGCAGAGGCCCAGCCCTGTGGCTTCCTTTGCTTCCTCCCAGGATTCTCTGCACAGCCCCCTTTCTCTGGGTCTCAGTTTGTGATTCTCAACCTCCCTTTACTCTTTTTTTTTTTTTTTTTTTTTTTTTTTTTTTTTTATACCAAGTAAGAACGGCATGCAGTTTGCTTGCATTATCCTCAGAGGGATCAATTTTCTGTTGCACATCCACATATCCAGGGAATTTATACTGGTCAAGTCAGTTCCCTTCACTGATTTTAATTAGTCTTTCCTGGCTATTCTGAAACATAAGTGCTTCTGCATATATGTTAAAATAATTTTCTCTAATTCATAAAAATACGAGTTGATTGGAATAATATTGAAGATGTATATTAATTTGGGGAAGATTGATTGAGACTTTTATGATATTCTTTTCCCATCGAGGAAGATATATCACTTCCATTTTTCTGGGTCTTGTGATTATCTTTTAAGTTGCTACCTTTTCATTAAATTTATTCATAAGTACTTTATAGTTTTTGCAACTTTTCTGACTGGGTTATATTTTTTTCATTTCTGCCTCTAATTAGTTCTTACTAATCTAATGAAAAACTGTTGTTGTTTTTTTTAACATTTTCTTACTGTTATCTTACCAAATTTTCTTATTAATCTTAGTATTATTTTTTTTTTTACAAAAGTTTGCTTATGTAGTTCTGTCATTTTAATTAGAAACTTTTATCTTCCCTCCAATATTTATACCAATATATATTAGTTATTTTAACTTTAAGACCAGTAAAACATAGATATCAGAGATGAGAGCAGGCCTCCCTGTTTTCTCCCATTTTGGTAAAAGGCTTTAGCATTTCCTGTTTCTTGTGAAAATGACTCTTGGTTTCTGGTAAATAGCCTCAACCCAGAGTTTAGATGATCCGTGGTCTTCCTTTACACGGCTGTTACCGCCCCTGTGCTGGCTGTGGGTGCCGTGCACTATTGCTGAGCTTTATCTGATGCCATATGATTTTTCTCCTTACGGCAATAACATAGGAATTATGTGTGGATAGATTTTCTGCTTTTGAACTATCCTTACATTACTGGGATAAATATCAGTATTGCACAGCATATGGTGACTTTTATGTGGTTGAGTTTACTAATTTTCTGCTTCTGTTTTTATCACATGGAGCTGGCCTGTTATAGTACCCACTCTAAGAAGTGCTGATACCGCCCGTTGTGATCTTTCCCAGAGGTGACCTGCAGGTTTCCTGCATCTCTCTTACGCTGCTGTCCAAAGGCAGGACGTGGAATGACGTGTGTGCTCTCAGAGTCCAAACACAGGGTCGAAGGTTGACTTAGAACTCAATGAGCCTAGTGCTTTTCTCAGTTATATCTGTAGATTCCTTCTGCGTTGGGTCATTTTAGAGTACATCATGTGTTAACTTGTACATTATGTTTTTCACAAATCCTTTCATGTCTTCCACATCTGAAGTGGTAACGTCTCCTTCGGAGCTCATTTGTTCTTTTGGTTATTTTGTTTTCAATATCATTCATTTTCACATTTATCTTTAATTATTCTATTTTGCTTTATTTTATTCTTTTCCTCAGTTATTAAATACAGAGTTGACTTATTTTAATTTGTGTTTAATAATAAAAGAATTTAAAGATGTGTATTTATCTGAATATAACTTCAGCTGTATTCATAAATTGTCTTTTTTTCCAAATTATAGACTTTTTTAAGTCTTATTGAGGCATAATTTACATGCTGTAAAATTCACTCATTGTTATGCAGCCATTACCACAATTTGTTTTAGAATATTTCTATTTTTAAAAAGTCACCTTGTACCATTTGCCATCAATCCCCATTCCTATCCCTAGGTCCAATACTGATTGGCTTTTTGTCTTGGGATTTGCCTTTTCTGGCCATTTTCTATCAATGAAATCATGCAGTATGTAGTCCTTTACATCTGGTTCTTTTGCTTGGGAGGTTCCTCTATTTGAGTGTATTGGGGTTTTTTGGTTTTTTTTGTTTGTTTGTTTTGTTTTGTGTGTGTGTGTGTGTGTGTGTGTGTGTGTGTGTGTGTGTGTTTGTTTGTTTTTAATGTATTTGGATGCTCCTGTATTGGGTGCATATATATTTACCAGAATTATATCCTCTTGTTGTATAGATCCCTTTAGTATTATGAAGTGGCCTTCCTTATCTCTTGTTATGGCCTTCACTCTGAGGTCTATTTTGTCAGATATAAGTATTGCTACCTCAACTGTTTTGTTGTTGTTGTTGTTGTTGTTGTTTTCATTTCTGTTTGCCTGAAGTTTTTTTTTCTATCCCTTCACTTTCAGTCTGTGTGAATCCTTTGTACTGAGGTGGGTCTCTTGTAGACAGCATATATATAGGTCATGTTTTCTTATTTATTCAGCCACCCTAGAGTAGTGTTCTTTTTTAATGCTGAGTAATACTCTATTATATGAACATCTCACCTTTTGTTTTTCCATTTACAAATTGATGGACATTTGAGTTCTTTGGCTGTAATAAATAATGCTGCTATGAACATCTGTATACAAGTCTTTGTTTGAATATATATTTTCCTCTGTCTTGGGTCGATACCTAGAAATGAAATTGCTGGCTTGTATGGTAAGTTTATGTTTGTTTGTTTGTTTGTTTCTTTCTTTCTTTCTTTCTTTTTTTTTTTTTAATTTGCCAAACTGTTCTCCAAGTGGTTGCACCACTTTACATTCCTACCAGCCACATCTGAGGTTTCCAGTATATCCACATTCTTACTAATACTTGTAATTGACTTTTAGATTATAGTCTTTCTTTTGGGTATGTAGTGGTATCTTCTTCCTTATAGTTTAATTTGTATTGCTCTAATGATTGTTAATGTTACACACATTTCGTGTACCTGTTAGCCATTTCTATGTCTTCTTTGCTGGAATGTCTATCACAGCTTTTATTTTATTTATTTATTTTTAAATATATTTTATTGATTTTTTTTACAGAGAGGAAGAGAGAGGGATAGAGAACTAGAAACATCGATGAGAGAGAATCATCGATCAGCTGCCTCTTATACACCCCCCACCGGGGATGTGCCTGCAGCCAAGGTACATGCCCTTGACCGGAATTGAACCCATGACCCTTCAGTCCGCAGGCTGACTCTCTATCCACTGAGCCAAACCGGTTTCAGTTATCACAGCTTTTAAATTGGATGTCCTCTTATTATTAAAATAGGGGCCCAGTGCACGAATTCTTGCACCTTGAAAGGAACTATGGGCTGCGAGGCTGTGGTGGGCACAGGGGCGGGTCTCAGCCCATCCTCCTCGCTTCTACCCAATCCCTCCCACCAAGGCCTCCGGTCCTCTATCTGCCCACTGCCCTGCTCCCACCACCTCTGCTCTCACATGCTGACATTGCCAGCCTCACTCGCACCTGCTGACAGCACAGAGTGATTGGGGCTGGTGCCAGCGGTAGGTGCAAGCAGTGGCTGCTACCCCAATCATCCCTCAGGAGCAGGGAGAGATGGAGAAGCACTCAGGGGTGATCGGAACTGGCAGCCGCCACTTACACCCACTGAAGGCACCGAGCGATCGGGACCCGTGCTGAGTACTGGCAGCGGGTGTGAACAGCGGCTCCAGTGCTGGCACAGGTGCAAGTGGGGCCAGTGCCAGCAGCAGGTGTGAGTGTTGGCCAGGACTGCGACACATGGGAGCAAAGAATTCTCAGTAAACACCAGAGGCTTGCCCCGATTACAGCGACTGGTGATCTGCCTTGGTCTGGCACCCCTGCTTACCTGCTCCACCATCCCGCCTGCTGCTGACGCCTGCCATGGTCCATGTGCACCCCCTGGTGGTCAGCACACATCATTGCGACCAGTTGTTCGGTTCTACCATTTGGTCTAGTTGCATATTAGGGTTTTATATATCTAGATTACAGTTGATCATTAAACA